ATACACTTATATATATATTGATAAACATTATATATATATGAATTGAAGAAATAAAAAATATTTAATTCTTTAAAGAATTATATCCCAAATAGCAATACAAATCGAAAGGATGCACTAATCCTATATTGTATTCACTTCATCAAGGTAAAGGGCCTTATATTCGCGAAATACATATTTTCATAGAAAGTACCCATAAACGTCTCAAAATATAAAAGACTGGTTAAAAAACTTACTCAGAGTTTGGGTCGTTTGGATCACATGTGTACAGCTTGTATATATGCAACAGAGTTTGAGTATATCGGCTAAAAGTCACGCAAGGCATACTGTTTTTTTGTGTATATACGAGTACCTATTAAAAATTCACAAAACACATTTTTAATCAATTAATAAACAATGTTTTATTAATTTTTTTTCAAATCATTGAATTCTATTCTATAATAAAAAAATAATTAAAAATATTCCGTCGTATGATATCCTATCTTAATATTAGAATAATATGATTGAAAAAGCCTGAAAATATCTTTTCCATTATACAATGGAAATTATATACAATTATTTTTATTATTTGACAAACTTATATGCATATACATGTACAGTTTCTTGTATATTTATATAATGATTTAATTATAAAAAATAAATTTTCTTACTCTTAATGTTTCTGGGACTACTATTATTGCAATAAGTCCAGCAAAACTCGCTTGTATCATTGATATTAAATTTTGCTTATAATAATTTTGAGCTCTGAAATAAAAATATGTAATTTGTGTACATCTAATATAAATGTTATTGAAATTTTACTGCCTATAATGTATTATTAATGCCATTATTGTCCACAATAGTTTAGAAATTTCTGTAATTTGTTAGAAATTTTATAAATAATTTCTCCACGTTATTTGATATTGCATATATATTTGTCATAAAAATATAACATTGTGCTAAATATAATATGCTTGAATAATATATAATAATGTTATTTATTTTATATTCATCATCACTAGTTGATTTTTTTCGGATATAGTTAATACAAAGAATTTTTAGTTATCGTGGGTCATTACATTAACATTCTTATCCATTACTTTGCAGTTTCAACATTCGATATCACTTTCTCTTTTGAATACTTACTCTTTAAATAATTTTTTATTATACCAATGTGGAAGATTATTGGGCGTTACACTGATGAAATTTGAGTTAATTAAATTATCATCACTCAATAATAATTCAAAATGTTCATCTACCGTCGGTGGTTGAACTGCAATTATATGTAAATATTTAATTTCAAATAATTTTCCCGTATATAATGCTATAATTTGGATTTAATGATATGTTTCGTTTATTTTCTATTTATTTATTTGATTTGACACGATTACAACGTACACTACGTGTACATATTTTTTTTATTAAATGTATAGTATTTTCATTACTAATTATTATCTAATTATTATCTAACTATTATCTTTTATGTCTCTTCAATTCTAACCTACAACTATGAAAATTAAATCTAAGTTCTAAAGCGTCCTGTTAAAATATTGCAGAATACAAATGAACTATTCCTTGTACGGCAATTGATAGAGCAAGGTTCAAAATTTTTTGACCTATGATTTAAAATAAATTCGTATAAATTATAAAAATTTTCGCTTCGAGTCCAAAACTTTGCTGTAGTCGAGAGTTAAACTTTATAATTTAGCTCTACTTTATAATTTAATTCTACAGCTTTAATATTCATGATAATATAACAATTATATAGATATATAATTATATAGATAATAACATGACAATTTTTGTCGGTAGATACTTACTATCATCGATATGTTTTTCCTCCATCTCTGGTTCGAGTGTTTAAGTTGGAATTAAATAGTCACATACATAGTAACAATATATTACTTTTCCTAATTTTATTTTATTTTATTTTATAAAGAAAAATTTTTCCTATGAATTGTAAAATCAAAGAAGCGTTTTTAAACACTTTGCACGATAACATTGCAAAAATGCAATTCATTTGTAAGTAATAAAGATATGATACGATATCTTTGCTTCGATATATTTGCTTCGGCAAGAATGTTGCAGATTGTTTTCCGTTCGTACAATTTATGTAGTTCCCAAGTCACGATTTTTTAGACCAACAGTAATTATTTTTACTGTAATTATTTTAATCTGATGAAATTCAAATTTTTTTTTCTTAATACAGTCGTTTTTTCTTAATACGAACGGTTTATATTACACAATAATATGATATTGCAAAAATACAAGTCATTAATAATAATGAAATGTGAAATATACATGTAGTTCTGTTGACTTTAAGAGCTCACAATAAAATTTCAAATACTCTCCATCACACGAGATTTATTGAGTTTACAAATCAGTATATGTAGTAATATTTATGACGTAATTAAGGGAATAATGTTTTTTCCCGTTCTGAGAAAATATTGATAATAGACTCGAACGTCATTCAACACATGATATTATCAAGACTATCATATAATGTTTTGTTTGTTGTTGTATAAAATGTTCTGGTTTATAAATGATTGTTACAGATTGGATTTTCCGTGTTTTACTTAAAGAATTCAAACGTCATTAAAGTGAATCATGAAATAGTTTGTATGCCCTCATTGCATCTCACAAACATTTTTGATGATCTCACTGCCATTAATATTGCTCAAGAGTTAAACTTAAAGAAGTTGTGTATGTGTGCGCGCGCGTGTATATGTGTGTATGTATATGTGTATTTAAAACTCAAAAAATAAAGACAAAACCTAAAAGTAATAAGTCTATCCAATGATAAATTGATAATTATTAAAAAAACAATTTATTATATAAAAAATTACAATGTTAAATACGAGATTCTTCCACAAATAAGTGTGAAATAGCACGTTGCAATAAATTTTTGCTTCTCATTAATTCTACAATGCAATATTCGAATACCAAATAAGAAGAATTTATCTCTTTAAAAGAAATATATTATTAAAAGAAATGCAGCTTTAATAAACTAATGAGAGCTATTTGATTAGATTTATATACATATTGATTAGATATAATTTATCTTTTATATTTAATTAATATATGTTCTGTAATTGTACACTATTTTCTGAAAGTGAATGAGCGCATTGCTGACTCATACTGTTAAATATAGTGCCAAATTTAACTTAATATAAATTGCCACTGCTCCTAAATATATCATCATTTTATACATTATAAAACAATAATTACATTTGACATTATCGTGTCAATTTGACACTATATAATATCAATTTGATACTATATAGTATCAAATATAAATAATATTATTTGAATATAAAATAACGATATAATTAAGTGCTGTAATTGAGAAAACATTTTTTTTAAATTATTTAATTTTTAAGTATTTGTTTTTGTTTTTTATTTGTTATCCTTTTATTATATTCTTTTTATCGTTTGATTTTAGTTTTTAATTGTATTATTTGTAAAATGTTTTAGTTTTCAATTTTTAATTTTAATTTTTTTATTTTTCATCGTTGCGAATTTTAATGTTTATACGGCCGATGGTGCAATAAATGTAAGTATTCACAACACACATTTTCATGGCAACGTCCTAAAAATGTTCAGAGACGTCTGTCTGTTCTACAGACATTTCTAGGATGAAGTGTGTTATATGGACTTGTAATAATCATGATTTAATAAATAATACAATAAAATATATTAATAGCTTTGGTCAAGCATTTGATATTCGTATCAAGTAAATATTCATACTAAATTAATTTAATACGATAATGTAATGGCGAATGTTATTGTTACAATACGCATTAAAAAGCCGTATCAAATCATAAAAGTATGTACATTTAATATATATACAGGGTGTCCCAAACTTTTTGATACATCGCTTGTGAGCAAGTAGATCTCTGGATTAAATTGAATAAAAAAAATCGTCTACAATTTTCGCAATAATTAACGAGATGTTAATTTTCAAAGTTCGCTGAAAAAGCGGATAAAATCGACGTGATATCATATAACAAGATTTCTTTCAGAGTTCTTTACATTATCTTAAGCCTATTCTACAATGTGCTTTTCTTCTTTCTTGTTTTTTACCTCTTATCTTTTTGCTTTTTATCTGGTTTTTTGTTTTATGTCGCCCGAGATAAAAATTAACGATCATCGAAAAAAACAAGAAATACGTAGCAAGAAATATAATTGTCGATGAAATAGTTGCAAAAGAGAAAAAAATCAAACAATAAAAAGCAAGAAATAGGAGCATATTGTAGAATAGACTTCTTGAAGAACTCTTAAAGATATTTTAAAATTGTTTCGAATCTTTTACATTCTGCTCATTAAATAACTAAAAAAATTGCGAAAATAATAAACAATTTTCCGACGCAATTTAATTCCTAACTATCTATAAGTACGTTGAGAAATGTATGAAATATATTACATATGTTGTAAGAAACTCAAAGGTCAAATATGTTTGGACTTTATCTCAATAAAAGAAAAATATTGTTTTGATAAAAACTACTTCTACGTAAATTGATTCTTACGTAATTACATTGCATATCTTTATCGTATGAAATTTCATAGTGATTTCAAAGTGATTTGTATAAAAGTGATTTTGTATAAAAGTGATTATTGCTGTATTACTTGATGTAAATAATATTTCAAATTTAATGTAAATTAGAATACAGTTTATTTAAATAAATTTGTACACTCATGTCTTAAAATACAATTATGATTTTTTATTGAACATACGTACAATATTAATATATTGTTTTCAAATGCATCCTTCTTTTAGAATCGCATACATAAATTTTGTATTAATATTCTACAAAATAAAAAAAATAAATAATACTTATATTGACGTGTTACCTAAATTATTATGAAAAATCTTATTATTACATTTTCGTGCAAATTCAGTATTTGTTGTATGACCAGCAGACTTAATTACAAATGAGTCGAAATTTTTATTATCTAAATTGTGATCTATTGGCTCAACTTCTTTACGATATCTTCGTTTATAAGTCGATGATTTGTATGTTTTTCGTTTCTTATGGATATCTCGAAATACTTCACGAATCGATCGCGAATTAGATGCTTGTTTTAACTCATAGAAAAATACTATTGTAGATGCTAGAAGACCAACAATGAGTACTAAAAATCCAACACCTAATGGTGTCAGCCCAAGGCGTCTATAAATTCCATCAAGACCATCGTGCTCCTTGACAACTTCACGAAGATTGAAACTAATTCTTCGATGCATAACATTATTAAGATGAAAGAGGGCGATACCACTTTCTCTTAACCAAAGCATTATCTAAAAAATAAGTAACTATTTAGATGAGAAAAGTTTCGCTGAACGATATCTTTCGCACGATATCTATCACATATCCACTTTTTATCAATGTAGATTTAAATTTTAATCTTGATTTAATTTTATCTTTCTCTAATTCTTATAACTAGAAAAGAATAAGAATAAGTTCTGAACTAAACTAAAGTTAATTTACACTGATAGAAACTAACAACAGTTTTTTTATAAGTTTTATTTGTTGAAATAAAAAAGATTATAAATAATTTGATTTTTGTACTTCGAATTATTGATCATTATAATTTTGTACATACTATTTAACATATTTACATTAATTACTATCTGATTAACATTAAATATATAATATGTTAACATTAAATATATAATATGTTTGTATTAATTTCTCATAAAATCAATATCTTAAATATTCTGATAAAGAAAATAATTTTAAATTTAGCTATATAAGCAGTATATTTTTACAATATTTTGTAAATAACAGATATAAGGATAACAATTAAAATGTATGATTGTCATATTACCATGTCGATAGGTTGTAATAGCCACGATTGAACCACAAACGACGAATAATAGTTGCCCGTGCTTTCTTTCATGAGTCTATAATTCTTACAAACACAGTTTACGGTTTATTTTGATTATTTTTAATGTTTTAAATAAATGCATTCTTGCTTCTTACTTTAATATACTCGTTGAAGATATCATCTTCAGGAAAGAAGATTGAATCTATGACAAATCCATAAATTGCAAATTTACGCTGTTCGATTAATGTATGTATGTATGCCTCTTGATCTCTCACGGGTATATATCTTGACGACAACTGGCTTGCGTAAATATCCTAAAATCATGTATGTTTATCGTGTTATTAGTAAGAAAAATGACCGTTTGTATGAATATAAATTTTACTTACATCCAAGTCAAGATAGTCAGACCAATATGGTTCTGGACCTTTATGACCCCATAATAAATTAGCCTCGAGAAATTGACGTATCGTATCGATTCTATAAACAATAAATATAATATGATTTAGATATGTTTTACTCTCAATATAAACAAAAGACGATTCTCTTTAATAAAAAGGAAAAAGATTCTCCTCAATAAAAGAGAAGTTAGTGTATGTCACAAATAATTGTTCATTAATCAATTAAATTATAATAAAGTTTAGAGATAATACACACACGCGCGCACACACACACACACACACACATACACACACATGCACGCACGTACGCACGCACGCACAAATAGTCGTTACCTGTCTTCGTATTCCGAATTCGTAAGTCTTGCTGCAAGACTGCTGCAAAATGCAGTTACCAATAGAAATCCTGCAGTTTGCCATAAATGCAATTCAAGTCTAGCATTGACAGTGTTTCGAGGCATCCACGTGCCCACTAAACGACCGATCAGTTCCGTAATCGTGCAAAAAATGCTCTGAAAACCTAAGACAATATATTTCAATTAACATTTTGTTTTTTTACAAATCATATCTTTTACTTAGACAGTATTATATCATAGTATGCAACTATAAAGTTGAAAGTTTATTACTGTTTTATTATTTTATAAAAACAGAAAAGTTGCAAATAAAGAAAAGAAAACTGTTTGAATAAAGTATAACTTTTTTTTGTCACACAAACATTACCATACGAGTTATAGTAATCTAATAGAGTAATATACGAATTAGCAGTTTTTAAATCTTATCTTATAAACATGTGCACGAAACATTTAAAAACAGTAATTGTGATTGATTAACCAAATTGATAGCATATTTAGAAAGTTTGTATTTATAAAAAAATTTTAATGACATGCTTTGTTTTTTTATCAGTGTAATAAAAAATGATATTTCTAACTTACGTTTTGGAAATTTTGGATCGACTCTAGCTCGTACATACATATATATACTCTTAACAATCAACGTGATTAATATAAGTATCCAGGTGCCCATCGAGAAAGGTCTCATGAGTGCCCAGAAATTAGTGATTGGTTGCGGTCGCGGTACCAAAAATTGTGTTAACATTTGAACCCACGGTGTGGACATATTCACGAATTCATAGTGATTCGGTGTTAACCGGACATTTCCAAATGCTAAATCAATCTTTATACAAGAGCAAAAATTATTATTTTATTATACTTTATTTGAATTAAAAGAATCTAATATTTAATTTTTTAGGTAAAAGAAGATTTCTATTTGGACCATTTTTTTCTTTTACATTTAAAAAATGAGAAATATTTAGATTATTAAAAACAAATTTCAACTAATGTAATAATTACAATGAATAAAATATTATTACAGTTCTTATAATTAATGTTCACAATGTTTCAACAGTATTTAGAAAGTTTGCATTTATAAAAAAATTTTAATGACATGTTTTGTATTACTTTATTAGAATTTACATTACTTTAATTCCAATAATTATACCGTTTTCTCTAGTACAAGTTGAATAACGCCGCCATTCCACCCTGTACTATTTATGCGTCGACCATATCTAAAATAATTAGTTCATTTCTAAGATTAATGTTTGCCATGTATTAATATAATGAATACGTAGAGTTACCTGTAGTTGCTTTTCAACTTTCGTATTGTCCAAGTAAAATTTAATTTCTCCGCCATAACCAAAAATATTTTCATTTCTATTCCATCCTTTTCATTATCTA